TTCCTGCAGGGCTGCGCCGGCAGCCGGGCCGGCGCGTCCCGAGGAACCCCCTCGGGCTCCCGGCTCGCTGGCCCGGCTCTGCCGGCCCGGGGCCCCGCGGGGGCGGCGGCAGCGGCGGCGGGACCGCCCCGGGGCTGCGGGGCCCGCGCCGGGCCGGCGGGGGCAGCCGGCGGCGGGGGCGTGATGTGCGGCGGGGCCACTTGGGGCGAGACGGCAGCTACTCACCGGGAGGGTTTACCGCCGCCGGCGTTGCCATCTTGTCTCTGAGAAGAATTAAGACAAATGCAAGAGGGGCGGAGGGATGCTCGGAGCAGCCCGGGGGAAGCGCGGGAGGGGCGGGCAGCCGGCGCCAGGGCGGGCGGGCCGGGCGGCGCGGGGGCGGCGGCTGCTCCCGCCCCGGGACCGGCGGCGCTGCCCGCTGCGTGCGGGGCGGCCCAAGATGTCCGATGGCCCCGCGCCGCCTCTGCTCATGCGCCGCGCTCAGTGAGCATGTGCCGGGCGGCCGCACATGTGCGCTGGGCCCGCGGCCGCCGCTGCCCGGCCGGGACCCCCCGCCAGAACCGGCGGGAGCCGGCCCCCACACGGCCCCGGACCGGCCGCCGCCCTCGGGGCTCGAACCCGCGGCCCCGCGGCGCGAACTTCCCTGAGCCAGGGGCGGGCAGCGCAGCCCGCGGGCGGGAGGGGCGCGGGGCGTGCGGGGTGCGGCCCAGCGGCCCCAAAAACACGGGAACGGGGCGCTGGCCTCCGGCCCTGAGCGGGAAGATGGGTGCCCTGTGTCACCCTGAAATTGAGGGAAGAGGTTTGGGTGCTGTCCGTGACCTCCGGCACTGAGCGGGAAAGATGGACTGCTCTGTGTCACCCTTAAATTGAGGGAGGACTTTGGGTGCTCTCCCTGACCTCCGGCACTGAGCGGAAAGATGGGTGCTGTGTGTCACCCTTAAATTGAGGGAAGAGATTTGGGTGCTGTCCGTTACCTCCGTTCCTGAGCGGAAAGATGGGTGCTCTGTGTCACACTTAGATTGCAGGGGGAGGTTGGGGTGTTCTCCCTGACCTCCAGCACTGAGCAGGAAGATGGGTGCTTTGTGTCACCCTGAAATTGGGGGAAGAGGTTTGGGTGCTGTCCATGACCTCCAGCGCTGAGTGGGAAAGATGGGTGCTCTGTGTCACCCTTAAATTGAGGGAGGAGGTTGGGGTGCTTTCTATGACCTCCAGCACTGAGTGGGAAAGATGGGTGCTCTGTGTCACCCTTAAATTGCGGGTCTGCTGTCCATGCCCTCCTGAGCTTAAGGGGAAGATCGAGGTGCAGGTCAGCACCCCCAAAAGCTGAGCACACGCCAACAGCACTGTAGGATGATGTTACCACCATCCATGTTGTCCCCAGATAATGACATCCCTTTCCCCCTGAGGTGATGAGGTTCTCTAGAAGGTAGAAGGGGGACAGAGTCCCTTGAGTTCCTGCTCATCAAGTGTACAAAAGTGTCCAGGAGTTCTGACATTCTGTGCCCCTCCAGGTGGAGTGTATGAATGGTACCATATTCCTCTAAAAACCTTGCTTTGGCTCACACTGCACTCACTTTCATGCTATGTAGTGCAACTGAACAACTGATCCTTTGCAACTCAGCTCACATTTCAAGGCTTTGCATTGCAAACACAAGGACAAAAATACACTTTCAATGAAATTGGAGATTCTTCTCATAATCTCATAACTCAAGTCTTCAAGGGGAAAAACCCCCACTATCCCAGAATTAAACTGCAAGACTTCTGAAAAGCCTCTGGTGTAATAACTGCAGCAATCATGTGTAATGTGTGTGAAATACTGGAAAAAAAAATAATGCATTTTGATGGCTTTGTCATCCCCCTGGAATGCTGCAAAAGCCTGTTAATCTTTAAATGCCTGCCCATGGCTGTGCTCAGTTGCCCTGAACAGCCCTGCAGAAGTTGATGGGAGCAGTCAAAATGAAAAGTTGCAAATCAATCCCTTGCTTTGCCAAATGAGTAACCTGAACCAGTTTATCCATTAAGATGTAAATTGGCAGAAAAGCAGGGAAAGCATGGAGGCTGTGTTTGTTGACTCATTTCCTGTAGAGGAGTTTAAGCAGAACCGCACTAAATGCTCCTGGTTATCTAGAAAGTTTACTTTATCTTTGATTTATTGTGCTTTTCCCTATCAGATGTGGAGCCATTTTTCCAAGCGTCTTACTGCTTTAGTGCCTGCTGATGCTGTAGAGTTTTGGATGCTCAGCAGGCAATCTTAATTCTTATCTCAAGGCATTTACCCTGCTAATACTAGACTGTTAATATCAGCAATTTTGTAAATGCAGCTTATTTCTGTTCAGATAAAACATTGTGATTTGATGAAATCTTGGTTATAGTTTTTCTTTTATAGTTTTGCCTTTTATGAGGAAGGCAAAATTTGGAGTGTCTTACCCTGCTGCAGAGTCATAGCTCAATTCCTTCAAGTTTCTGCAAAGTCTGGTGTTCAGATTGCACAGATAATGCTGGTCATGAAAGCTTTTCCATGAGCCTCCATTATGTCAGGTAACATATGTGCATAAAGGTTAAAAGGTCAAGTTCCTAATACTCTAATGATAGTAAAAAACCTTATAAAGCCAGAATTTATAACATTAGGCACTTCTGAAGTGTCCTCTGAAGACCTTTACAAGTGTTCAGAGGTTAAACCTTATCTCTCTCTTACCAGAAATGCACTAATATTTCTTATTTCGTTCCTATTTTAGAGATAAGGAAGCCACCCTAAAAAAGCTGGAGAGATGTGACAGTGCACTGTTGTAACTTTCAACAGACAGATGGAATAAGTCCTACAAAGACTGAATATAAACCAAGGAAACCACTCAACTGCCTGTGCTGTCCCCTTGCGTGATATCCTGTGAGATGTTAGATTAGCACAGAAAAAACACATTACAGGGTATTTGATACTGTACTCTGCCTAAATAAGATGTTGGGGCTTAGAATGGAACAGGTTCTGTCAAATCTTCTGTGATTCAGACATAATTATGCAAAATAAAACCGCTTTTCTTTTTTTGTTTGGTGTGAGCTTTGTTGACACACTCTATTCAGTTTCACATGCAATTCTTTGTTCACTTAAATAGATTGAGAAATTAATTGATTTTCTCTCCTCCCCATCTTCTCTATCTTAATAGCCAGTATTAGCAGAGTCCTTCAGAATCCCTGAACAATCCATAAATGAATGGAATTATTCTCTGTTTATCTGTAATTCACTACTTCCTTGCTGTCCTGAGCCTTTCCAGATCCACGGGGAGATCCATAACACTGGCAACTGCTGCTCGTAAAATTGTGTTCTAGTTATGGTGGAAATGCACACTCTGTATTTTACTTGCACTGTAATTTAAGGAACATGTACACAGCAAAGCAGGAAATCAATTCAGTTACAGAATGAATTCATGTTTTGTTAAGTTCATGCTGAGCTATGTACCTTGAAAGCCTAAATCCCGTGGAATGGGGCTCCTCACAACAAAAACAGGGACAGGGCTGGACTCTACCCTGGCACTTGCAGAGAGATTAAGCAGGGCTGTATCAATATCAAGCACAAAATATTATGGATATACAAGATAGCAACATGCGAACTTTTCGCTGCTCCTGTGTCACAATAGGGGCTGCGTCACCATTTTAATACAATTACAAACAAGTGTTGACATCATGTGTAGCAACAGGAAAATAAATTAAGAAAAGTGATTTTTATCTCAATTTTGTTATTATGTACCATAGAATGTCTGTTAGGTGTCTTTTACAATGATTGTTTCCAATTTAAGGGGCTGGTACCACTGAGAGCAATGCTCAGCATACATGTGTATTCTGTTTCTTGGCTGGAGAGGCAGAAATAGATCAGCTGAGCACTGCAGCACACAGAAACTGCTCCCCATTAACACCTTTCCTTGGAAAACTCAGCACTGCTCTGCTAGTTGGAGAAAACTGGACTTCGTACCTTTCTATATGTTCATCCCATGACGTAAACTAGTAATTTCTAAATGATTTTATTTCTTTTAAATAGAGGAAAAGTAGGGGTTTTATTGTTATTTCCTTTGAAAAACTGAAATCTTTCCAAGATGGATGTGAATGAGTAAAAGTCAGAAATAAAAATCACAAATGGAAAAGGAAACAAATTGAAGCAAATTACATTATATATTCAGTGTCAGAAATCAACAAAAAAGATATTTGGTGTTTTTTACCAATTTATGAATAGTCCACTTTAATAACAGTGCTGCAAAACAAGTTCTGAAACTGTGAACTTACAGTTACCTAGCAGAATTTTCTTTTCTGGGGACATGAAGAAGTTAAGTGAAATTTCAGATACTTTAATCCAGTATAATCAAAACCAGTGACATTTTAATGAAGTCTCATACTTTAATAAGACCTCCCAGCTACATTCTTTGATCTGTGTTTCCATTGAAATTGAGTTAATATATTGCACACAATTCATCCAAAGGTCTTGGATAGCTTGGAAGAGTATGATATATGTATATTAAAGCAACACCATCCACCCAAGTACTTGAAACTGGAACATTATATGCCCTTTTTAATTTGTTTCGTCATGTATGGGTGGCCACACTTGCCTAAATAAGCTATAGAGACAATGATGAAATTTAAAACACGAACTATCATAGGAAGGTTTTAAAAGCATTTGTTAAGGAAATTACAACCTTGTTCTTTAAACTATCCCATATAATTTAAGAGAAAATTGTATTCTTCCTATAAAATGCAATAAAACACCTCGATAGGAATGTGTAAGTTATATTAATCTCTATTCAGTCCTGCAGGTATAGAAATGTAATTTCTATGATGTTCTCTACAGCTATTGCTGTTAAATTCTGCAGTGGTTTTCCTTTAGGGAAAATGACATTGAGTATTAGAGAAACCCTTCTAAAAGTGAAATGTGTGTGGCAGATGTCTCTTACCTAAGAAATTCAACTGAGATCAGACAAGTGTTCCTATGCTAGTGGAAGTATAGACTAGAAGCCAAGAGCCTGACAGAAATCTTTTATCTCTTAATTTCATCTCTATCATTTTGAACTTCTTCAAAGTTTGTAGAAATTTAACCATGTATGAACAACCAAAATTTAAACAACAAAATTTGAAAGTAAAGCCTCAGAGAGGAATAGCTGCTGCAAGCACATTAACACATAACCTGTTTTCTTTGCAGTGTTTACTAAGCAGATTTCATTTTATTTCCTGACATTAACCTCACTCTCTGGCAGAAGCACTGCCAACAGCAGAATCATTAAGCTGAGAGAGGCTGTTGGTGGTTACCTCAGGCAGAACTGACCACAAGGCGTCTGGGAATACACTTTTCACACTGCTTTCCTAATTACAGCCCTGAAACCATTCTGTAAAGCAAATGGGCAAAAAACCAAAATGGTATAGAGAGTACTGATCTACTTACATAAGCCCAAGACATGAGCAAAAAGATACAGCCCAGGAACAGCACTGAATCAGCAACTGAGATCAGACCTATGCAAGTCAAGCCTTTTTTCCCCCAAATGCCATATATCTCCTCTTGAGCTAAAAGCTTTTTCTTCTGCAAGGAGGTGTTGCTGGTACATTTTAATCAGGATATAATGATTTAAGGAGATCTGTTGGAGTGGAGACACAGAAATGGAGTTCCACATCAGTAGAGAGTCTTGAGCATCTTTATCTCTTCTGACCATCAGAAAGAAACTAAATTCTGCAGAAACAAAAACATGCACATCAGTAGTAGTTCCAATAAAGCAAAGACTTTTTCTTCAACAATTTTGTGTGACATCACCCTACTCACTAGTGCTATAATGCCAACTGGAGGAAAAAATCAGTCAGTTTAGTACAGACGAGCAAAAAAAACAGAGCTGGGCTTCTGCAGGGGAGGGCCTTTTTCTCTCACTGCTCAGTGTGGACCAATCTACCATTTTCCCAGATTCTTGCTGCCCCATCTGCTTTATTGCAAGGTCTGCAAATGTAGTAAAGTCTAAAGGTTCAAGTAATGCAACATCCACACTACATGTTTTGAGAAAGTTTTCACATTTTTTCATTTATTGGTTTGTGATTTCTAGTTTTTAAGATTTCTAGACTTTACCTATTTGTAACCAACAAAAGATTGATATGTTCTGACATACAATAAAACCACTGGTAGGACCAGGACACGTTTACAATTATGGCAAGACTGTTTGAAAAACATACTTTAAGAACATGGTACATTAGAAAAATACTGCTGCTAACTTATGGGACACCTTTCCCTTGTTTGAAATGAGAATTTATGAAGAGTGTTTCAGTAAGTTTTATAAACAACATTCTATCATCTTTACAGGGTTTTCTTTATGTCATCAGAGAGATTTAATGAGTGTCATAAGCTGCAAAGAGACTACAATGGCAGAAAATCTCTCACAGTTAATTGCAGCAAAACCATCTGAGTCCCATGAGATATAGAAAGCAACCTCTGTCCTAAGGAAAATAAGAAATTCTGAGGAATGTGGAGCATGCTGTGCTATTTCAGTTGAGCTCAGGACAGCTAGAAAAAACAAATATGTGAAGGAAGTGACTGTCTGATATTTTCCCTCTGTTCTAATGCTAATTCTATTTTAATTCTTCTCTGCTTTCTTTAGCCCCTTTTTCTCCAGCTACACAAGATAATGATTTCCAAGAACCATAAAAGAGAACAGAAACACATGCATTTAATTGTCTTATAAATTGAATTATGATTTATGACAGATTTTACATTTCACAAGTAAGATATTATGCAAATTTTCAGCAGACCCTTTTATTTAAAGAGCTTGCACAAAATATTTTTGGTAGCTCTCTACTTGATTATATTTCTGAAACACACAAACTGAACACATGTACCTGTGTCTCAAATACCAGGCAGTACAAACTTAATTATGTTCAAAAATTGAATCCCTGAATTATGGAATGCAGCATAATTAATTTCTGCATTAGATGAATTGTTCTTTAAAAGTGATGGAGCATCCCTTACCATATGCTTTATGGCTCTTGCAGTTTCATTAACAAGAAGGAACAACTATCTTGAATAGCTGGATATATATAGCCATAGATAATTTTTCTTTCCTATCTATTCTTCCAGATCACCATGAATAAAATAAAATTCTTCTACCATATCTGCTAATTTATATAAATAAGACTGTCAGTATATACTTACATTAAAAACAGTTGCCAACATATAAAAACTAATCAGACCAAAGATGCAGCTGGCTGAACATTTTGTTTCTGAAAATGTCCACTAACTCTGCAGCAACTGAGGAAAGAAGGCAGAGACGAGGCAAATACTGAGCTATACTTCCCTCTGCTGTGCTCTTGCAGCTTCCAGCAAACTGCAACTACAAGAATTCATGCATTTATTTGCAAAATAAATCCACTCGGAGCATTAGCCCAGTGCTCTGAATTTATTGTGAAATGTCACATCAGTTAATTTCTATCCATCCAGGCCAGATCATGTATTGATTCCCTTCAAACAAGAGGCTGAGTGTCAGGATTTTAAACAGTGGAGGGACAGAGTTGGCACACAGAATCCTGTTTGGTAGCTGCATCTTTGGGGGTAGGAAGAAATAGTACAGTGCAAATAGCAACTGAGGCAAATTTTTATAAAGAAAAGACTGTGGATTAGCAATGACTGAGTTGTGTGCTTTGAAGTGTACAAAATAGTGAAAAAAATTGTCATTAAATATCCTGGGTATCCAGGATATCTACTGTGTTCATCTCATCTGAATTCACAATGTCAGTGTTCACAGCCACAATGTCATAAGCCTTATTGTGAGGATAAGTTTCCCAGACAATATTAGTCAAATAAATTTTGGGTGTCTGGAAGCTGGAAAATCAGCATCTTCTTTTCCTATTCATCCTGGTCTAAGAAAACAAGAATAAAAAGTAGTAAGCTGATTCACAATTGTCTCCATATTTAAAAATGGAATGTGATGAGGGCTGGGATATTATGTTGGCTTCTCCTCTTTGGTTCGTGGGACAATTCACACCTCTGGAAGAGCCACGTTCTGCCACTCCAGAGCAACATTTTTCCCTGAGTGCACATGGATTTCACTGCAGGGCTGCATGCTCACAGCTAAGTTGGAAAGGACCATAGCTTTAAAGCTGTTTTCATACTGTTTTTTCATACTGCCTGTTTCATGGTGTGTTTTATTCTGCCCATTAGTGTGAGGCAGAAAGACAAAGCCAAAAAGATCAGAAGAATGGTGGGCTGGGGCCTGATTCCTCAGAGCCTGAGCTACCCTTTTGTAATGTGACGTTTACAGGTTTTGCCAGGGATTTCCCATTCCAAGCACGTTGTGCTTCACCTCAAAGTTCCCATCTATCAATTAGAGTATTGAACGGTGGTGGGAGGCAAAATCAGAGAACAGGATTTTCCAGAAATGCCCTTGGTGCATTGGCGCTACAGAGGAGCAGAGATTATGCTAATTCCCAGCCCCCAGGAGGGAGGATGTTAAGAGGATGTTCAGGCTCTGCAGCTCTGTCTGTCTGTCACAGGTTTCTCCCCTTGTTCCAATTCCATGGGCAGAGTCCATGGTAGGGACTGTGCACGATGGAGACAGAGCAGAGCACTGAGCAGGTGCAGGAGGAGCTGTGAAATGTGGTTAGTCAGGGCATAAGCACTAATATGGGATCACAGGAACACACTTCCCCAGTGCTTCCATCTGGAGTGGTGCTGGTCCTGGTCTAAATTTGCCTTTAATCATGCTCAGCATCAGTCTAGTGTTTCCTTCTGCTGCTCCTGTTGCCTGAAACAGATTATTTCCAGGGAGAACAGTGAGACTTCCCAGCCACTATCTGACTGCCCCAAAGCTGTTGAATGTTACAGAGGCACGTGGCTAGAGTCACCTCTGGAATGGTCAAGGTCTGAAAAAATTGGTTTAGACATTTTCCAAGGCCAAAATGTGGATTGGGTAAGTCCTGCCCCCCAGTGATCCTCAGACACCTTACTGAATTTATGATCTTCAAAAGACTTGAGCAAATCAAGTCTTTGAGAATCACCTCGAGATGAAAGACAGACATTTAAAATAGGACTGAATACTCAGTGTCTTCTTCCCAATAAGCACATCCTTCAGTATGTGTTTGAGGTATTTGTTGTACCTCTCACAGGGTAATGCACTGCCTTACCCTGAGCACAGGTGATTGAATAGCAGGAATGTGTCCTGAAGACCAGAATCTGAAAAATGCATCTTTTCTTGCAGTATTTCCCATGGAAAAAATATTGACACAATGTTTTCATACTACCATGACTAATATCATGTGTTGTTCTCAGATATTTTTCAAATATTAAAAAAAAAAAAAGAACTTCTATTACTACCACATGGAATCAGATTAGCCCTGCTGTTAAGGCATTCACAAAGAAGGCAAATCTTTCTATTTTCTTCTGCCCAAAGCAATAGCAAAATAGAAAGAAGCTGTGTGATTACCAGGCTGTGGGTGATGGAATTCAAGGTCAAGTTGTGTTATTAATCATATAAACATCACTTGTTGCATATGCAAAGCCAACTCTGCTGAATTGTGCTACAATACTATGGAGATAACAGGGAAGAAAAAGAATTTCTTAAAATACCAATGATTTTTCTGGCACTCACACTGTAAGCAACCCACATTTTTATCTACAGATTAAATTTATATTTTCTGGTCTTCTGTATTGTATCTTCAGGAAAAAACTCTGCCAGGGTCAAATGAAATTTTCAGTATCCACAATTCAAAGGCATGATTCAGTATTTTTAAATTCTTAAGTGTGATGCTGTGGGTCATGTCACAGGATTTAAATAGAGGAGAACTCATTAGTAACTGCTCATTTATTCCTGTCTTGACTGCCAGGCAGCAGCAATAATACTCAGAAAATTCCTGTCTTTCTCTCACCACAAGATCACATGGGGTTGGAGCTTTGCTCCCAAATCACCTGACATCCATTGCATAGCTCATCAGCATCATCATTTTCATCCCAAGGAGCACAGGAGCATGTTCCCTATCCACCTGGGCTTTCTGCTAATGCTTGGGGCTGCTACAGTCTAGGATTAATGAACTCTGAGCTTCTGTTCTACCAGGATTTGGATGTTAAATGTGTGCCTCTTGCTAGCAAGGTGTGAACATTTATAGCAATAGTTTTAAGGGACTCCTTTAGCATCCAGTCCTGCATAGAGCTGCTCTGGGTTCATCACTTTTCAGGCATACATGCCCACATAAAGAATGAGAATTTGAGTGCCAATTAACTGCTAATGCCAAGTTCTTGGCGTGATGCCCCAGACGTCCTACAGTGTTAGAGTTCTAGTGTTTTCCAAAACCAATTTCCCTTTTAAAAAATGTATCACTAGTCCTTCTTGATTACAAGTGTTAGATTTTGTATTCATTAAATCGCCTGAATGAGCCCCAAGATAGAGGTTGATGACATTTCTTCAATGCAGCAGCTTTTTTCAGAATCTGCAGTTTCATCAAAGTATTCCTTTGGAACATGCTGCCTTTATTTTTTTTTTTTTTCCAAAAAAGAGGTTTCTGCAAAAAGGTAGAAGCAGTTTTTACTCAAAATTTTATTTCAGTCGTATCAAAATCATTAATTTCGAAAGTCAGCATCAAATACTTCTGTCCTGTTAAATGAAGCAAGTCATGAGAGCTTTCTGGACTTGAATGCATTGTTGCCACACCAGCCCCTCACCTAAAAGGTAGGGGTTTTAAACCAAGGAAAGTCCTGGAGAGGCTACAATGGCCTAAGGAACTGCAATTTTATTTTATTATCAGCTTTTTGAATATAGTACTTTGGCTATCTTTCCAAATGCCTGTGTTTGGAATAGATAGTGTTATTGAATTGTTGACAGTATTGACATTTTTAATTAGTGCCATTAGATTTCAGAGTGAACAGTTAAATTGCTGTTATTTTCAGCAGGTTTACCTGGTTGCTCTGCTTGTCCAGTGGTCCCAAATGCCTCCAAACTCTGTCTAATTGCAGAGAAATAGCAGAGAACATTCCTGAGAAAACAAAGGCTCTACAGAAATTGATAATATGAAGACCTGAACACTAATGAGATGCTGAGATTGTTGCAATAGCACTAAAAGATTAAAAAAATAAAATGAAATTAAATACAAGTGCAGTATATGTATTACATCATTCATCTGCATTCAGTGAGATTCTCAACTTTAAATATATATTAAGCTACTGCACAATTTCCTTTTTACCAGAGCAGATTGTGAAAGAACATCTAAATTCTTCCACAACATTTATATTTCATTCTGCTGCAGAGCACAAAGTGCTGTAATGCACAGCACACCAATTGTCATGTTCTTGTCTGGGGAACAGTCTTGAACTCATTAGTTTGCCAGCATAAGGAACATAACACAGAACCTGTGAGATGCATATGGTAACAGCTTAGAGTCTTATGACCAATCTGGTTTTTGTAACAGTTTGTGAATACCTCTAAAGTAAATTAGATCTATTAGTCTATCTGATTTTGGATTTTTTTTTAATCTCATGTCAAATGTTTTTTTGCAGATTTGGATGTTTTCCATTTTAAACGTATGTGCTGTGATTAGAATACCAGAGTGATAGGGATCATTAAAAAAACATTTATCATCTTAAACTGTTGTTGTTAGTTTTGCTGCATATCTGGCCACTTTAATCTGTTCTCCTTAAAAGGAAATAATTCCATTTTCCTGGGATAGTCCAGTCTGGTTTTGAGAAAGCCTTGCTTCAAGGTTGCCTATACTGTCTGATTGTTACTGCTGTGTTTTGGTGTGGCAGTGTCCATCTCCAAAAAGCAATTTTTCCTCTGGAAGAAGCCTGACATGTGGCACACTGCAGGGAAATGTGCACCTTGCCAGAAAGACCGAATCCCACAAGAAAAATTTTTTATGTAAAAGTGTACAGCACAGCTTTCCTTTGCTCTAACTAAAGCATAAATGTCATTGTTCTCAGGTTCTTTAAATTAGGTTTATTAAGGTTTGTGCCACATTTTGGAATGCAATTAATGTGTGCCTAAGCTTTCCATTTCCTTTAATGTCACAGGGGATGTATTTGATATAATAATGTTATTTAATATTTTTACAGAAGCTAAGGAAACTGAGATTAGGCTAGTTTGTTATAAATTAAAAGCTAAATAGAACTCAGTGAATCAATCTTTTTTCTGGCAAGAGTAATTTCTTCTGCATATTATATTCCTTTTATATATAACTTACATTTCAGCATCCTATCCCTGACATCAATGATTTATACACAGCTCACTCGGTTTATGGGCAAGATAATTTTTGTTGGTAATTACATGAACTCTAGCATTCACACAAGGGTCATGGGAGGTTATTTAAATTATACAAGTGCCATACAGAGGTAAATTAATGCCCAGATAGTGCTTTCATTCTGCAGGTTAGACTGTTTGTTAGTCCATGAGCACTGGAATGGAGGTATTACTCTGAAAACAAGGTGTAAATGCTCAAGTAGAAGAATCAGGTCCCAGAAAAATTCTGTAGGTTTGTCATTTTAATGGGCTAACTAAGAAGACTTCATAGACCAGTTTTAAAGCAGGTTAGCACGAGTCTTGCATGATCCCATGCCATGAAATGCTTATTAAAAATAAAATGTAAGGATGAAATGCCAAAGTGGACCATGACAGGCTGGGGTATGGCTCTCCCAAAGTTCACACTCACCTGTGAGCAGCAGCAGGATGGAACTGGAGCTCATGGAAGCACTGGACAGACTCCAAGGCCCTCACTGGTGTGGACAAGGAGACCTGCAGGATCAGTTCCTTTGGACCTCCAGGAGTTCTGAAAAAAACCAAATTACCCAAAGATAAGTTTTGTACCCTTGGTACAAAGGATGAATACAGAGTAAATAGAAGAACTAAGATGCAAAGGTAAATACAGTCCCAATGCTAAGATTTGTCACTGATCACTAATTCATAGTTGTAATGAAAAAGAGTTTTGGATCCACAAAAGTAAATTCTGGCATTGATTATGTCACCTCTCATATGCTTCTCAGAGACAAATATCAGCCTGTTAGTAAGAGCTTGCTGAACCAGTGATCCCTAAATATGAGGAATGCACAGGCAGTGGTATTGTTTTATCACTGTCTTATTTGGAACAAGAAATAATGTCTACCCAGATGTGAATTTGGCTTTAATACACAACTGCACAAAGACAAAAAATATTTTTTTAAGTTCAGTGGAATTACATCTGACCAGGATTTCCAGAAATGCCTTCTAAAAATCCCCTAATAAACTCAGTGGGTTATGAAGTAATGTTGACTAGCAGGCACAGAACAACAAGAAGTAATAATATACATTGTTGGATTTATTTACTTATCACACAGAATTACTGAAATATGTGCTGGGAGAAGAAAAAGAAGGGACAGAGACACCATGTTTCTAACCTGTGGATCATGTTAGAACAATATGGGGATAAAACAGGGAGCCAGATTGTCAAAATAGTGTAAGTGGATGAAAGGCATTGCTTTCTGTGAGTGCCTTCTTTGAGAATGACTGTCAGGAGACAGAGCAAATACAATTTTACCTTGATATTCAGTGACTGTGTATTATTAGATAACGCTGTGAAAAGATGTTTCAGAATTTCATGGGAGCAGCCTTCCACAGGACAGCCTTCCCTCTGTCCTGCAGTAAAATTAGATATCAAAATGAAGAAAGTTTTGTTTCATACATATCAAGATACTGTGTTTAGTGAGGGAAAAAAACAAAAGTAGACAGTCCTGATCATTTGCTCTCTTCTGGACAATATATTATACCTCTTGCCAAAATCCAAAATTAATTTTTTGAGTGGATTGAGAGTCTTAAATATCTTCAGCAAGCTGTTTTGAAGTTCCTGATAATTCATCCTACCTATTTAAGCATATTACCATTATTTTATCTATTTAGATAATTATTTAACCTTTATCTCTGTCTCCCATATTCTATGTCACTTTTCAACAAAAAGATTTCAAAAAAACCCGTATATTTAACCATAATGCATAATTTCCAGTGATAAATAAATAAATAAATATGATACCAATGTCAATGGGAAGATTCCTTATGACATCAGTCAGACATGCTGAGCATTTTTTATGATTAAGAACATTTCATTCTTTATTTGTAATTCCTTCTTTCCCAAGGAAGAAGGTGGTGAGTTTGAGCAATTCATTGCATTTGAAAATGAAACACAATGCTTGGTCCTGTTATGCAGAACAAGAGTAGGAAAAAAGCAAGAGAACTCATGGGAAAAGGTCAAGAGCTGGAGCCAAAGCAAAATTGCAGCAGAAATCCTGAAAATCACTCTTGATAGAACACAATGAGCTGCTCTGAAACCAGATGTGCTGCTCGCAGTTCCCACACCCTTGAGCTGGCAGCGCTGTGCTCAGAGGACATTCCCCTGTTTGCAGCCCCTGCACAAATGTCTGAACTCCTGGGAAAGGCCCCCGAGCCTCGAGGCTGCTTCAGGGCCATGAGAAGGAAATTCTTCATTTGAGAGTTAAAGTACCAAAGCCACAGGTTGTGGGATTCCCTAAAATCAGAGGGTTTTGGGCACATTGCAAAATGCAGGTCTCAGAGACAGCAGGATGGTGATTAGAGCTAAGCAGTAGCTATAAGATTTGTCAGCAGAAAAAGTATACAAGAAGCAGAAAGAAAGGACAAATAGAACAATAATCTGTGTATTAATGCTTGGGTAGAATAACTTCCTAGGCTGCAGAAAAGTATATCTGATGAGATATTAGGAAGGTCTAAGCTTAATAATGGAGCTCTGTGCATTGTATCTTGAGGCTTACAAGCAAGTATTGTATTCAAAATAAGCAAGTATTGTTTTAACCAAAGGTACATGTGCTTATAGTGATTGGATAGAACTACTGTCAATATGCTTTTGCTTTGTGTGACTGGTCAAAAAGTTTATAATGTAAGTTGTAACATTAAGTTCTTGGTCTGTTGCCTGGATGTGAGCTGCTGGCATCTTCCCATTGTCATAACCATGTAATGAGACATGCTAAAAAATAAACAGCTCGAGATGCATGCCACAGCAGTCCTGTCCCGTTTGTGACTTGTACACAGCCCCTGGCCAGCGATAGCAGGTGACTCCACAGCCCTGCCCACTCCCTGGCACACTGGGCAGCTGTCAGAGAAGGCTCTCTCTGGGTACTCTGCAGAGCCACAACCATTAATGCCATCTCTTTTTTTCAGTCACACTTCAAGGCTCACTTTTTCCATGTCCACGTTTCTTCCAGGCAGGATCCTGTTGAGTAACAATCAAAGCTATAAATCTGTGATGATTTAAGACCTGGCTTTCCATGGGCTTTAGGAGGCTGTCAAGGCCTCCACTGTCGTGGCAGTTTCTTGGGAACAGTCTTTGAGCTTCCTTTTCCCTGCCTTGGGCTGAGAACACGCCTGGCCCTTAGCCAAGGTGCAGAGTTGCTCAGGTGGATGTTAATTCTGAGGAGGCAGATGAACAAAGATAGTGCATTGCTCTGAAAACTCAGAGGCACAGGATTTCTGATAGACTTCCTAATCCCCTGCTGCATGAGCTGCATAGTTTTATCTTCAGTGGAAACATTGAGCTAGCTCTCTACAGAGATGGAAAAACCCAAGCTCCCGCCCTACTCCATATTCCATGCTGCCATTAATCCATGGGTGGGCATAGACATGGAGCCCACCCTGGCACAAACTGGGGCAGTGTTTGGCTCTAACACAACGTGAATTTCGTGGAGGAGAGGGGGAATGGACTCAGCTACACCATAAGGGTCTATGGGCAGCTGCACAGCAAAATGGGCTATTGGCAGTGTATATTGGCAGAATGTGAAGCACCCATAAAAATACAAAGTTTATTCCAATATCCATCAAATATTCAATAGAAAATGCTGATCATTTGACACAGTTTAGCAGCCTAATGAGAAAGTCACTACCTGGTAGCCCCTGTTCTGCTGTGGGCTATGGCTGTTTACTGCAGAGGAATTTCCTCTCAGAAAACTTAATATTTTTCTGAGGATCTGAACAAGAGATTCCAAATTCAAAAGCAATAACCCAATACTTAAGTGAATACCGCTTGGATGAGCTGTTATTGTTGTTCAATAGCAAATATTTTTGTAGCATGTGGTGGGCAGCTCATTGAAACATGAAGATAATGACAATCCATGGAGCCTGAAGCTTGGCTGACAAGCCATAGCAGACAGACAACACAAATCTGTGGGATGGGGTGGGAGGCAGGCAGGCACGATGGGATTTCAAAAAAATCCCAAACAAAGCCCAGTCAGGGAAACAGCTTCCAAAATATTTATTAAGGTTTTCAAGGCTTCAAAGATAAAAGAGTCATTCCAAACATAAACTCTCATCCCACACAAACAGTTCTTGTACTTACATGCTGTTGTCTCAACAAGCTTTTGTTTTCAGTAGAAAATCTTATTGTTTCTGAATGTAATTTCCAAGAGATAAATTTGGAGATGTGACACTGACTTCAGGGAAGTGCTGCATGTGGATGATCACAATTTTCCACAGGTCTGAGTGTGCCCTGTCTTGGCCTGTATGGCATGGGAGCAGGGTTAGAGGAAGGAAAGAAGGAAAAAGAGGAAAAGGGAGGAGAAAACAAAGTGTGTCACAATCATGTTCAAACAAAATATGCTATCCAGAGAAGTTCAACTTAAAGGCACTGGCTTCCTAGACAGTTTCAACAAAATATATTATTATATTTACTTAATTTAAGCATGTCTTGAAGACTTTTGCTTTTCCAGTAATGGATAGAAACACCGGTTATTATTGTACCTCAGCCAACACGTGGTGGTTGATGAACGTTCCTTGATGAATAAAGATATTAGCACTCTACAGATCCTTTTCAGTAGACAAGAAATTTCTCCACCATGTGGAAAGAAATCTTGCTTGCTCTGTGAAATATTAGCACAAAAAGGTGAATTCCAAACTACAAGAGAATTTCAACTCCAGTTTTAGTTTGCCCTACTCCACTGAAAACCAAACTCCATCAAACCCCAGGTTATCAGTGCAAATCCCTGTGGCAGTCAGGTATTTCTGGTTATTGTGTGCCCAGGTGTGCTAGGACTTACTTCCACCTGCTGCTGAGATAAGATCTCTGCAGGAGTGTGGTTTCAGCCCACATTTTCCTTGCCTGTTCAGTTATCTGCACCTTTGGGTTCAGCTGCATTCCCTTCCTTTTTCAGACTCTCATCCCGGCAGCTGCTCATGGCTCACTCCTCCCTTTCTTGTTCCAACACAATCCTTTTAAGATATATATTCTTTTTGATCTCCAGGCTCTAAGACTTGGCCAGCCAGCTGTGTAACTGCCTGGGGCCTGGAAAACAGCATTTCCCCAGCTGATTATTGAGTTATTATTATTTTAACTCCCTTGAAGTTGTTTACCCCAGGTATCATGTCTCGATCGCTGTTTTGTTGCCCATTCATTTCCATCTTCTTCCAGACTAAACAGCTTTCTTGGACTTAACTCTATAAATAATCTTCACATGCACAGGCTGAAGCACATAAACTCTTCATGAAAGCAGAGCACTTAATTCCCCTGGTTCTCCAAACCACAGGAGTTAGGATTAGCTATCTAGAACTTTATACCAACAATTCCCAGATTTATAGGTTAGACCAGCAGTAGAAAAGGTTACTGTGCTGCAGTCTCTGAGTGCTGAATTTGCTCTCCTTTGTAGATTTTCTCAGATATTCACATGAATAGGGAGGTGAGGGCCACTTGAGGTATTGTATGAACAAGTATCTTCCTTCCAAAAATTTGTAAGAAACCATGCCTATTTCATGCTTTGTGCATTCACTTGCTAAAACTGTCCCTTTGTTTAATATTTTCTAGTTTTCCAACACATCTGTTTCCTTATCTTTTTTTTTTCTCCTCCTCTCTAACTCATATTTTCATAAACCATTTTATAGAAAGAATGTTTTTTGCAACATTGCCTGAGGTTTCTTTATTTGTTTGTATTCCTTTTAAAAAGTGGTGGGAACTCCTGAGAGAAAATGGAAAACATTCTTCAAGACTTCCTAAAAAACACTGTGGGTAGAGCAATGCACTGAAAACAGAAAACACTGCATCTTACTTGTTTGCCTAATTCCCCACTTCTGCTAGTTACAATTAAGACTTAAAATGTAAGGAAGTGAGTCTAAATGCCTGGAAGAAGAAAAATAACTTAGAAATCTATTTCCATTTTTCTAGAAAAGTTTAGCTTCAATCAGTGTGTGTGTCATATTTATCAGATGTCATTTATCAGCCAACTTGTATGGTGAACACCTCTGATATGATACTACAGAAAGCTGCAGTGTGAATGAAAGAGGAGATAAGGCTGAACCAACTGTCATTGATTCCACCCTGTCCAGGTCCACACAAAACTGAATTAAAATCTATTGTGTCTTTGAAAACCCTGCCTGTGTCCCCAGCCACTGCTAACAGGGTGACACTGGGAGAAAACCTTCCTTGAGTAGCCTGGATCCATCTGGAGTCAAGTAATGCCTGGGGCTCTCTTCATTCTTGGTGCAAGGATAAAACACTTTTCTCCAGATTAAGCACTGAGGTGGAATTGCAACAGCAGGAGTTTTTTGGCACTTTGTAAGAAAGTTTTGGAGCCGCTACAAAATCCACCCAGACAAAGCATCCAACTGCTAGACAAAATGCAACATCCCATTGCAGAGTTAGGAAGTGTTCCTTTGCAATGCAGGAAGGGCATTCAGCATGCTGGTATTTGTGAGCAGCCACACATCCCAGTCATGAGCTTCTGGAGAAGAGGTTGTTTCCAAGAGGAATGTCAGTGTTAATCCACTGGAGAGCGAGTAGGTGAGTGTGAGACACAGTGTGGATGTGTGAGCACAGCAGCGTTTGGGGGATGGAGCCTGATTCTCCTGTTGGAGAAAGGATGGAGTTTGGCTCCCACACAGCCAGCTGCCAGGGCTTGCTCCTCCTCTGCCCCCCAGGAGGTCCAGCACTGACCCCTGGCTCTGGTACAGCTGGAAGTCTCAGTGTTTGATGAACTGGGCTGTCTTGGAACAAAAGAGATGGATGAGAACTGCAACACTTGCGGAGCTTCAGGACCATTTCTGTGCAGGGAAAAGACCTCTTCCAGCCTTTGAAGGCTTTCTCTTGAGAAAGATTTGGGATAGAATGTGGAAACAGATTTTGGGGCACCTTTAAGTCAGTCCTATGTCTTCAGATTATCCTAGACAATGGGATTCATTGAGAGAAATTCATTCTCTTTTCCCTGGCAGATGATGAAAAAAAATCCATCAATATGGATGCTACTCATCATAGCAGAAAGAAAGAAAAGTTGTTATTATCAATGGGAGAGGCTCCTTCAGAATGGTCAGAACAAATTCTGATTCCCTTTTTTAGCTGAATAGTAAATGGGAAAGTCCATGAAGGGATTCCCATGAAGATTTCCATCAGTCACATTGGAATGGCTACTGTGGTGCAGGCAGGCTCACAGTAACTGAGATAGGACTCAGATTTTCTGGACTCTGTCTTTTCATTATACTGAAATATTTAACAGCACTAAATAGGTAACAAACATCACTTATATTTTCAAATGTGGAAAAAAGCTGCAGGTCAATAAAAAACTAAAAGTTCAAAAGCCTAAAAGAAATAGTGTTACAATAACAAGGCTGAGATCTAGGTTTGGTTTCTGGTCTTTCAACTTGTGGCAGAGGTCTAAAAGCTATTTTAGTAAAGGACAGATAATTCCAATATGAGCAAAAATTAAAAGAAATTTGTTCAGCACTGAGCCATTCACAGACACTTGGTTATAAAACAGCAAACAACTCATCATTCTTAATGTTATTTTTCTCTGGGGAACTGAGTTTTTTGTTTGCTGTAACGAGCTGTTGTAATTGAGCTCACTTTTACTGAAGTAGAGCTCTTTTCTAAAACAGAAAAGAGAGATGGAGATTTATTTTGATTTAAAAAGATGTTTGCAACAGAATAAATATACAGGCAATATAACCAGGACTTTCTAAGTATGTAAAAAACCTACATTCAGTTAATTTTATTTTCTGTTTCATTTTTCAAGGAAAGGCATTTAATTTTCATTGCTGATATATGCTGGCATAGAAGATCAGCAGGCAGATATTATAATGAAGTGTTCTTTGTTTACAGAAAAAAATTGTGTTCATGATTTTTTAATAATGTTTGACAGTCTCATCAGAAAGAAATGGAGGTCTCAACTGGAATTGTTGTTTGTCATATGCCTGAGGCCTGAGGTTGATTTATTTTGTTCCCCAACTGAGCTGATTTTATTTGAACTAATAACTGAAAGTTTTCTTGCATCTTTTGCTATGACAGTGAGATGAATGAAGTCCTAATGAATGAGCTGCATTTCTCAGAAAAATCTTCATTATCTTCATGCAGCTTTCCCCTACACTGCCTGGTAATTTTTAAAGCTGTGATGTTTTATAGGGAGATACAGGTAGCAGGTAAATCAAGATACAGAGGTAACTTTGCTCTTCCTTCTACATCTGCAGCTCTAATCAGAGCTGATCATTTGTGGCAAATCAAGCACTGACTTATAGAACAGACTAAGATATAATGGGTACAAGGGTGAAATATAAATCCTACTCATGCAGCTTCATCTCAGGCCCACAGCGAGGTTTGTGGTGTGGCTGGATAATAAGCCCACAGGTGCAATTTAAGTATCTTACCAAGCACATCAGCTAGAAAACCTCAGAGATAATAGTTCTTATCTAAATTGGGCTTGGCATACTGTTTTACTGCACCCCTTGGAAATCACAGAGGATGAGCCTGGAAAATTATTTTGTCTAATGAAAAAAGCTGGGAGCATTAAATGCAGCCTTTTAGAGGACAAAAAAAATGATCTGCAGAAGAAATTCACTCTGACAGCAAAGCAGAGACATGTCCCACCCAAAGCCCATCACCTCTCAGCTCACTAACTTTCCAAAGTTTTCCATTCCACTTCCAAAGGAGCATCCCACCCCCTGAAGGGCATTCCAGAAAAACCAGTCAGTTTGGGGGTTATGGTTTCTCCATTTGGATCCTAGGTTTTTAGATATTCCCTTTGACAATAGGACATACTGGAGGGGTTTTTTGGAAGACATTTTCCCTGCGGTTCTCTGAACTTCATCGAGATGCCTGCGTCCTGCACAGAAACCCCAAAGCATCCATGGCAAGAATGCATGATTTGCTCTCTAGAAAAAAAATCCAAAAAACAACCAGCTTGCATTTGGCATGATAAACCATTTTGTGTTCCAAGTCCATATTTTCAATTTGATTCTCCCAGTCATAAATGTCTTGTGATGCTGAGTAACAACAACATAATCTGAAAATTATGCCCAGCTGAATGAGATCGTTCATAGCTGTTATTCCTCATCTATGACTTACACATTCCAGATATGATGCATTTTTTACCTGCATGCTGTTCCAAGGGATACATGCCATGGAGAATGGCAAACACTTGAAGGGAGCCTCACATAATGTATGAGCCCATTACCCACAGTCTTATGATCCATCCTTTAATAACCTAGTTTTGGTTTGAGATTCTTCCCATCTCTTAAGAAGGTCTAACTTGCTGTAATTATTTTTTGATTTAGTTTTGCTCCCTAGACATCTTAATTCACAATTTTTAGGTTGTTGCTTAATATAAAGCATTAAAAACAGATTCACACCCAGCTATTAACTACTTGGTGTATTCAGACATTAGCTAATAAGCAAAAATACATGTGTTGAAACAAATCTAATAGCCAGTGTCTGTCCACAGACACCATCTGAGATGGCAGATGAGTCCTTCCCATCACTGTAACATCAAGTCCCAGGTCACCATCCTCCAGAGCATGAACCACACTCATTTTGGCTGTTCCACTGAGAGACTGAGCACATTTTTTGCAAAGCAGAAGGAGCTTTCTGCTTTCAGGAGGGCTCATTAACTCTCTGCTCAGTGCTCCCAGTCCCACCACACACAGACTGTAAAGACAGGAGCAGCCCAGATCTGCCCTGGATCAACACTGGCCGTTAATGTAACTCACATATTATAGACTAAAAAAAACCTAATTAATATAATATAATATAATATAATATAATATAATATAATATAATATAATAATTATATTATATATGTGTATATATAATATACATATATATAAATATTTCTTAGTAGATCCTTCAAAGCATTTCTGGCCCAAGACAACCATCAGCATGTCAGACAGCTTCAGAGAACATTCTGGACCCTCAGACCTGAACTCCTCTCTCATCCCATCTCCTGACTTAATTAAGTCAGGAGAACATTAAAGGGACAGTACAGGCACTGCTCTTGCCTTTCTCTGTAGAAGGTGGCTGCATAAAAACCCCATTTTGCTAACTCCTTCATTTTCAGCCAGATTGCTTTCTTTGCTATTGCAATTCTTTTGACCCAGGCTTTTGAGTGTTTGACTTCAGCTCCAAGGAGAATAAGAATAAAGATGCACAGACAAGGAGCTCATCAGATCTTACATTTCCCCAAAGACACAGGAGAAAGAGAAAAAAAATTTCCCTGATGACCCCATTCAATTTTTATTCTCTTGGAGGCTTTTAGGAGCTGGCTACATAAAATAATTTGTTTTATTCCTCAGAATTTTCAATACCAAAGGAAGCTTGATAGGGAGAATTAATACTGTTCAAATAGGAAAGAATTTTCATTTTCTCTCCCTGCTGTGCAAGGAATAACTATCACAGAAGAACAGGAGGAGGTCAGTGGCCTGTCCTGGCTTGCTCCCATGACTTGTATCAGGGTTGTGAATTTCCAGCCTCTGTCCTGGCATAGTCTGGGATAGCTGGGGTTTGTTCACACACTCCAGGTCTCACTTTCCTTTTTATTTCAGTGCATCCAAGGGCTAAACCACCCTCTCCCACACCCCCAGCCTTCTCCTCAGCTGCTGTTCAGGGCTCTCAGTGGCTCCAACTGCCTCAACTGCTTCACATGTTGGCAAAATCAAACCTTCACTGTGGTTTCACTATCAAACTCCTTCAGCCTGTCACTGTCTCTCTTCAAGTCAAAACCACCTCCAAAATGAACACATGAGCCTTCAGAGGCAGCTCCCCAAAAATTCCAGTGGCAAGATCCAAATGCAGAATGTGTTTGGGGAAAAGCACTCTCTGATCTCATGGACAATCAGGGCTGTCTGCATACCTCTCTGTTCACATCATCTGCTTTCCTTTCTGCTCTTTTCCCTCTCATCCTGAAATGCAAAACCACAGCTTCCCATGGCTCCTCTCAGAGCACATATCTTCACCAAACTGAAGGATTTTTTAGGGCTGGGCCTGCCCTCTCATCAACTGTGAAGGATCTAATGCAATTTTGGGCACAGAGACTACAATTTATGTAAATAGATCTTAAATATTCCATTAGATCAGGTTCAAATTCCATGATCCCACTTTCACTTTTACTGGAGACATACCTGGATTTGTGTGACAGGAGGATTTCTCCTACTTCTTGACCTCAGAGAAAACAACTGTATAGGAAGAGTAAGGAGAGTAAAGTTGAACTCATGAGTTTAACAGAAGAACATTATGGATGAAAAGTTGTGAATTAAATAATGCATTTTCTTTGTACAGTAGGAGTACAAGCACCCAGAGAAACTAAAGAAGAAAAGCTGAAACGGATTATAGAAGAGTGTGGAATCTGCTAATTTAAGAGAAAAATATAAGCTAATTAAGATACTGATGCCCACAGTTAAGTGTCCCATTAAATTAGAAAGCATGTCTCTAATTCAAATGAGATATTTTGCTGGCTAAATACTCAGTTCCTTTTTCTCCTCATCTTAAAGAACTGTAATATCTCAAATGGAATACAATTAAATCAGTTCAAGAAAGATTTGGAAATGTCCTGCTAGAGGAGACAAGTATAATTCCCATGCATTCACTTTTACAGGGTCTGACTATGTAGACATATTCAGGACAATTCTTCTGAAATAAGTAGATTTCTAAATTATTAGTTTGTAGCTATATGCTTATGTTGAAAATCAAGGTGTTTGTCTTTCATCTTAGGTTAAATTATTCTGGAATAATAAAATACAGATTATCAGCACTAAAGGTAGGAAACAGTGTCCCTCTCACACATTAAACAATTTAACTGTGACAAGTTAATCAGTGTGGATGAAAATCTGGTTTCACACATAAAATAAATTAATATTATCCTAACCCTTAATGTGCAAATGTCTACTTTTTATAACTATTTTTCTTCTAGGACACGATATCAGGCAGATTTTCCTCTAATTACTTCATGAGATGTGTAGTAAGGAAGTCCTTATTCTAGTCCTTGATTTCTGTAGGTCGCAGTGAGCAGCTGACCATGGAGCCAGCTGAAAGATGACAAAGCAAGAGAATAACTCAAATTTGAATTACAGTTCATTTAAATATCTGAGGAAAAAGGATTATCTTTTGGCTAACTTTGGAAGGAGGCACAGAACACTCTAAGCTTTTTATAACCTGAAGTTGTACTCTCTGAGTCCTCTGAAGGCTCAAGTGACTTGAGCAGTTTTTGCTCAGTGTCTTTCCCTCCATTTTTCTCCTGCCCAGCTGAAAGAAGAGTGGCAAGGTGATTTTCCTGCAGCTCAGCTTCCCTCTGTGCAGGCCATGCTCTTCACCCTGCTGTACACTAAGTACCACAAGTTATCCCTAGGGCTATTCCATGCAGCCACAATTAACCTGTAACACTAATTCAGACTGTTCCCAATTTTTTTTTAAGCATACAGAGCCTGTTCTTGACACAGCTATACTGTTACTATATAAATATTTCTATATTTATGACAAATAAATAAATAAATTTAAAACAAACATGAATTCGTACCTGAACTGGTTTATTTTTCTCACGGACAAGCACTCTGCACTATATGGCTCTCTTCAATATTACACATCCAGAGTCAATTATAAACCTTTATATTTCTCTAGCAGGAAGATTAAAATTCAATTCTCCTTTATTGCAGTTTGCAAATACAATATACTCTCCAGCTGGCTAGCAAAAGCTCCTCAGTTAAATCATTTTGTGCAACACTGCTTCTTAGCCACTGGTACCTCCCTTCACAGCAACAGCCTGACAGCCCCACACTTCCAGGCTATTTATTGGTCTGTCCTTAAATGGGAGAGTTCTTTTACAACATACTTCCTTTTTATTGAAATGACTGCAAAGAGAGTTTTGTGTTTCTCTTTGTTTTGAGGGGTTTCTGGGTGAGGGCACTACAGTGCTTTTTGCTTTTCAGTGTCTCCTGGAGGCTTTGAGTCCATGCTGTCATGCTTTGTGCCTCTCCCCAGTAAATCAGGTACCTGGTTCTTTCTTTTTAGGATTTAAAATACTGTTACCAACAGAAAATGAAGTGATGTGTTAGCATAGCAGAGTTCCTGCATTATTGAACTGAGGCAAGGAGCCCAAAACCCAAAGGAAAATGATCCACTGGAATCTATATTCCTTCCCTCACCACAGCTCCAGAACATGAGATTATTATGCTTGTTAGAATAACTACTTATCTGCCCATGGCAGGGCTGGTGTTTCCTGGAATGTTGAGAAGGTCCACACTTAATTATGGTGCTGACTTGAATATTTTTGTCCAACTCATACTTTAAAGAAATCCATTATATCTTATCCCCAACCAAGGGAAATAAATGGACTTACTTGAAGGATCAATATACTCCAAGAGGGTGAGGCAGGAGAAATATTGGAACACCTTTCTACAGGGTCCTATAAAGGCTGAGAACCTTCAGTGTGAGTTAATTTTTTCTGCTACCAATACTGCAGCTCCCAGATCCATCCAGGTTTTCCTGCTTTGCTTACAACAAGGCTGTCACCTGGCAATCCTGCTTGTTACATCTGCATCATTTCATCTGACTTGACCGGACACTCCCTGGGACAGGAACTGTGCCTTGTCTGCATTTTAAAAGTAAAGACACACACATAATACATAATTACTATACAAAACAAACTTAACATTCAAGGCAGCTTTGTTGGTTTTTGCTTTCTATGACTCAACAAATTTGTTACCTTGAGGTGCTAAACACAGTTGTGAGAACAAGAGTGAGAAAAAAAGTCAGTTTTGCTATTATAGAATTGTCTTCTCATTTCATAGGAATCCACTGGTGCTGACACTGATATGTGCTGGTTTCCCCTTTCCTCCTGGGTGTTATTTTTGTGAAAGTGTAAAGCAGCACCTTCCCAGCAACATCTGTCAGCCAGGAAGACTGAGTATTTTTGGCATTTTCACAGGCAGAAATTATAGCACAGAAAACAATAGGTACAGGACCAATGATGCTGACAGGTATCATAGAAACCTGCATTTATGTAGGAATTCCAGAAGAAACTGAAGTCTAGCTAATAAAACACTTTTCCAAGGGGAAATGGGTTCTTTCTAGATGCCTGTCCTTGACTGACCTTTTGCTAAAGAATCCAATTAATAATCCTGAAAAATTTATTAGCCACACTGTTTTGGTTGCTGGGATTTCCCTGTGCTATCTGAAAGGACAATCAGCCCCTGGGGATACTCAAATCCTTTGCTAAGGGGGTCAAAACCTTCCCTCACCAACAAAAAGCTGCTGCTCTTCTGATATCTTAATGCCCCCATCAGTGGCAGAGAAAATCTCCCCTGTCCAAGAGCCCTGGGGGATGAGTGAATCAACACCTTACACAGCACCTGGTCTTAGAAAATGTTTATTAATGATTGCTGTGTTATCTATTGAGGGTACCTATGTGGAAATATATCCCAATTTTTGCCCGCAGGACTGCAATGTATTTGTTTTCACAGATTTGCCACACATGGTTAGGCACAATTAGCATTTGCAGGAGGCTTGGGTAACAGGTAAACACAGCCCCAAAATGGGGCTTTTCTCCTGAGAGCCCCTTTGAAGGTCAGGGTTGGAGCAGGCAGTGGTTCAGCTTCACAAATCTGCTCACTCCAACTGGTTATGGGGAAAGCGAGTGCAATTCCCCCACAGCTCCCCAAAGGCACGGAGCAAAACATCTCAGTACAGTACAGGAAAAATTAGGGTCCCTAACGAGAAATTAGTGGCACTGTGGCTCCTGGTCATTCTGCTTTTCTATTATTACTGCTCATTAATTTTGCCCCATCTGCATGGAGGAGCCCCCATAAGTGACAGAGGCTCTGCAGACAGAGGACAAAGGTGACAGTCCCTCCTTCTAGACTTGAGCCATGCTTGGAGCCTGTTAATCTGAGATGTTAATCCATGAAGTTTTAGGCTACTACTTCTTGACTGTATCCAGCAGGGCTGGTACAGCACATTTCAGAGCTAGGAAACCCCTCCCCTTCACTTGTACTTCTGAAAAGCAGAAGATTTAGTTCAATTGACAGAGTGCATTCCTCAACATTTACAATTGCATTGGCTTGAATTTCTATTGTTAAACTGAGCTCTCTCTGAAACAAATAAATTAGTGTTTGGCTGAGAATTCCACTGTAAATTGCAGAATACGACAACTTGCAGGATACAGACCTGTAAAGCAAGATGAAGCATCCCCAGCCCCTTTGCCTTTAAAATGCCATGGAAGCACAGAGGCTCTCGGCAGAACACCTTATCTGCTCTCCAAAGCTGTGACTCTTCATCCTTTCCTTATGAAGACCCAGGGGATTGCTTACTTAGCATCCACCAGAGGCAATGGATAGGGTGAGCAGCCACTGCAGCCAGAAACCCCCAGCACGGAGCACGGGCAATTCCCTGCACATGCAGAGACTTTGGAGCTGAACTGTGCCGAGCAGCGAGCCCTGGGCTGGGCGAGCCATGTGTGCCCGGGGAGAGCAGCCCCCGCCGCTGAAGAGCAATGCAGTAAGTGCTGGGGTATTGCAGCAGGCACCGCTCGCCCCGAGCTGGAGCCGTGCAGCTGCTGCCGGAGAGACACCAGCTCCAGCCCGGAGCAGCGGCAGCGCTGCGCGACTTTTGGTGGTGTTGCTGAAGGAAGTGGAGGGATGGAGTGGGGTTGCAGTGCCAGGGACTGTGGGCTGGTTTTTTTGTGCGGGTGTTGCAGGGGGTGCTTGCTGTATGTCCTGTGCTGGCTCTGGGGGGGCTTTCTGTGCTCATGTTGGACGGGGTTTGAACAGAGGGGGGCTTAATAACTTAATGTCAGCAGGCATTTGTGTTCTCCTTCATCCTGCAGCATGTTTCCTGTGCTTGGGTGCAAACTATTTTCTGTACTAGTACTAGGTACTCTGATGCTGGATTTACAGGGGCTGTGCCTTTGGGTAATGGTGAATTGTAGATTGAAACTATGTGAATGAGTGATGATGGGTAATACTTTCATTTCACTTCAGCAGATATGGCTAATTTCTAGTTTGTGGTAAATTCTTCACTGTGGTCTCTGAATTGCAGATGCTTTTTTGGTAGATAAATGTTTGTAAGCAGTACTTTATCATAGCATAGCTGTGGCTTTCTTCAGATTCTGATGTTCTGTTTCTGTACTCTGCAGCATCAGCTTTCCGTTTGTACTGAGTAGGAGAGAAAGCATAAGTTAAAGTTTGCTTTATATGATGAAGGATTTTTACATAGTTTGAAAGTGTTTGCAAAATTAGCATTTGGGCAGTAATTGCAAGCCTTTGGAAAGATCTGTGCAGCATTTAAAGCAAATTTAACCATATAGTTTTTATTCTGTTACTTAGAAACTAATACCAAGCTTCATGCCTCTGCTTTCTTGGTACAGCTTCCTCAGTGACTTATGAGTCCCGGCTTTAGGATAACTGCCTGCCTTCAGCCTCACTGCCATTTTGGGCTTCAGGCATGTTTAGCTCTCGAAGGCAATATTTGCAAAATTTTTTAAGAGAGCAGTACACGCAACCGCTGAAAGTTCGGGATTCTGTTTTTGCTGCTCAGTCAAATGTCAATAATAAATAGCCATTGGTCTCTTGTAAAGGAACACTAATGAAACTATTCTTTGGTTTTCCCACTCAATATTTGTTTGTAAGTTGGGGTTTGTTTAGTTCTTGTAAAATATTCACATAATGAAGAAAGAAATATTCCTCTGATAAAGCTGTCATTTTAGTTTTGAGCAAAATTTGTAGCATCACTAATTTGAAGGGATAATTCTCAAAAATTAGACAAATAAAGTTCAGATTCTTTTAAAAGAATTTTTGCAGAGATGCTGCTGATGATGTGTGTAATGTTTAGTCCCAGGCATAGCTGATAAGACCAAAAAATTATCCTGGAAGTTATGGCACCTTTTCACTCCCGTGCAACATGCGTGTCTTGGAGTTTTTTCCATGAGATTAATGCTCAGGTGCAGAAAAGAGATATTTCCTCTGGCACTGCAGTCAAGAGAATTTTCTCCTTTTCATCTAAGAGAAGCCTTGTGACATATGCTGTTATTGAGTTGCAATTGCTAAGATAATGCAAAATTAATAAGTGATGATTAGTCTTCATTAGTAGTACAACTTTGAAGATGGACAAATCTACAAGGAGGGTGGATCACATCTGAATCTGATCTGCTGCCCTCCTCCCTTTCTCTCCAACCCCTACTTCTCCCCTTCTGTTTATGAGCCTCTGATAGGTGCTATAGTTGCTGTCATTTAAGGATCTGAACCCAAGAGCAGTGCAATTTTTCCAGGCACAGGTTCACAATCCATGTGTGCCTCATCTGCTCCTGTTTTCCCCATCTAGATTTCCAGCAAAGCCAGTAACAAACTTGAAAAATATGTGAATTTATTATATGAGATCTCTGACTGAGCATTATAAAGCTGGTGTTAGTATTTCTGTCATGGGGAAAGAGCAGGGATTTTGCCTGTAACTAAAATGTGCTCAGAACACACAGTTTTGATGACATTATCATCAGATATTTTCAGGTAAACTAACTCCAGTAATTTAACAAGCTATTGTTTTCAAATTATTTCCTCTGAGGTACAAAACAGGGGAGGGAAAGAAATGCAAAGAAGGAGTTGGATGTTGGAAAGTCGCTGGATTCATAATGAGAATCACAAGACAAAATGGAAGATTATGTCTGGTTTTATGCTTTCATGCAATTCTGAGTCTTTAATCAAAATGTGTTTCCTGAACTGGAACCTCAGAATTATTTGCCAAATATTATTGTTCATGTCAAGTGTAAAATGGAGAACATTAGGTATAAAATCTAATTTCCCAGCCTAGAATAAGCATATTAGTAAACATTATGTTTTTACCTCATCATTTCTGTAAGCAACCCTGGCAGGAGCCTTGCCTCAGAAGTCAAGTTCACTTTATTGCATTGCAACCTGAGAGAGAAACACACAAAGGGAAGTTTACTAATTTTGTCCTACATTGCCAGTAATGAGCTGCAAGTCAATTTAATTAATGAAGAGTAGCTGCTCAGCATTTGTAGTCACCTGAACTACTTTAATTTGCATCACTGTATTTCTACCCGTTTTTGATGTGTAGAGGCACGGACAGATTTCCCTGACAGTAAGAAATACTACTGCCATTTAAGTAACAGAGGCAAAACTTCCAGTACAAAACTGGATAAAAGAATATCCAGTGGGTGGATAAACGTGCTGCATAATTTCAAAGCCCAGTGGAAGTGTGTGTCATTGTTGCACCAGGAAGCAATGGCACAGACACGTCACATTAAAAGAAATGACATTCAGCACGTTATCAAAAAGATAAGTTTAGCTGTGTTTGTACAAGAGCAGGGAATTTTTGTACCATGTTTAGTAGAACTGTCATGTTTATAAAGAAATACATCTTACAGCTAGTGACTTCCAAAATGTGCCACATACATAGTCAATACTTTCTGACTACAAAAGGAAGGACATTTTCTTCCTTTCTTGTTTTTCAAGGGTAGGCTTTTTGATGGCATCAACTACTTAGATATGCTGCATAGTAATTATTTTATTCATATGTATGAAAGAAAATCTCTTAGAATCTTCATTATACTGATCTCCTGTGAGCATCAAGATTGAATTTAACTGGGATTTTTAGATATATGCCTAGACAGTCCATTTTCAACAACAAAATGAATATGCTATTATTTTCCACTATCACTTCTTTCCAAGGGCAATTACTTAATACGCTGTAATAGCTACAGTTTAGGATCCTTCATTTGCCACAGTGACTTTCCTCACTTTTCACACCCACACAAACCCCAGAACCTACTGTGAGTAAAGCAGCAGTGCAGTAGCATTCAAGGAGGATTAAAGGACTTAGATTGAGTACTTCCTAAAGCCTGCAGCCTGAGCTGTCATTTAAAACAGGAGCAAAAGTGATGTATCTGCCTTTCCCAAGTGCTATTCAAAAGGTGTACATATGCACACAAAAACCATGCAGAATTAGAAAGATCACACGCTATGTTTGGCAAAGTATCTTCAAAGTGCACCTGGTAAGGCAGGGTGACCTTCAGAAAGTGCAGAAGAGCTGGCCCACAATTCTGTCACCTTCTGCATCTATTCCTTAAAGCTTTAGGCAAGAATTCTGGCATTTGGCTTTTTGGAGGATAATTCAGGACATTGAACTTTAAAAGGAGGCTGTGGAAATCTGTATTCTAACAAACATAGTCATGAGCAACAAACTGCAAATCAGCATCTGATTTTCACTGAAACATCTGGAAGAAACTCCAAATGCCATGTGCTCAGCTCTGCATCTTCACAAGTTCATGGAACCTTTAATGAACTTTTCTTTCCTCTTGGACAGAAATACAAAGGAAAGAGTGTATGGACTAAACAAGGGTTTGCCTGAATGATGGCTGCAGAGACACACACCTCTTCCCAGCATTATTTTAGCATTTGAGTTTCAAATGTATTTCATCCAGCCCTGGGGAGACTAAGCCTCTGGGGATCCTATTCTGACACTCAGAATTCATAGTAGTCAGCCAGAGAGATTCCTAGACAGGAGGAGCATTGTATCCCCCAGTGTCAGTCAGGACTTTGTTCAGAGGGAAAGATGAGGAAATGAGACAGAAGGTTGCTGAAAACACAGATGCTCACATTTCTTCTGCTGGAAACAGGGCATGATTTATTTCTTTTTATCATAAATCACAGGTTTTCCTTCAAGGCTTTGCTTTAGACTTTCAATCAGTGCTGATGGTTGTAAAGAATCACATGCCCAAGCAAATCTAAACTACCTGGTGGAAAAGCCTTCCATTTCTCTCCCTGCCCCATCTGATTGATTTCATGATTACTAGAGAATTTACTGCTTCACACATTTAGTTTGTCTCATAAACTGGTCCAAGGCAGCTGATGTCACCCATCCAATTTTGTTTCCATATTCAAATTCAAGCTCCCATTCTCTCTGTCAGCATCACCAATATATCTATGACTTCTTACCAAATAACCATATCACACCATATGCTGTGGAATTGTTTTGGATTTTCACCAGTTTAGTTTAGAATTCAGCCCTCAGTCTGAGCATAATTCAGCTGGGAGGAGATCAATTCTAGAATCACAGAGTGCTTTGGGTTGGAAGGGGCTTGAAAGCTCATCCCATTCCAACTCCCTGCCATGGGCAAGGAATCTTCACTAGACCAGGATGCTCAGAACTTCATCCAGCCTCTCCTAGAACACTTCCAGGGAAATTATTCTTAAAAAGCCTGGTGACAGCCATGAGCCAAAAGCCTCCTCAGATACTATGAAAAATGGTGGGAATGAAAAGCAGAGGAAACCTCAGCTACCAACACAGAGGGAGCCAATTTTTGTCAGTAAGATCTTGTCAGGAAAGTGTCTCCCATTATTAGAAACTTAAAGTAACAAAACCAAAAGGACTGAACTCTGAAAAAATAAACATTGCATTCATTTTGTCTTCCATTTTGGGGTATTCTTAAGGACTTATGTTTCAAAGCTTTCATCTTCAAGCACATGAGAGCATTTTAAAATAAAGAATTTTATATCCTTGCACAGTAACCTCAGCAGAGCTTCAAAAGCATCACCACATATGAAAATCACACAAGGTTAAAATTTAGGTAATCCCTATATTGAGAATCACAACTTTACAAAACATTACTTGCTTCTGCTTTGTTTTTATTTTTCACAACATTACATGGCCATCTTTGTGTCTTACAGCCAGTAGAAATGCTTCCCAGAAAGAGAAATTGAGAGATTTTCTACCATCTGCATCAGTAAACCCCAAGAAAATGGTGTTTTCTGGATTACACTCTGCCTCTGAGTTCACTGTATCAGCACTGCAGTTTTGCAAGTTGCAAGCAAAAGGCAGCCAGAAAGGAAATACCCAAGTAAAGCTGATCCAATTCTTGTTCAGCTGTAAAAGTATTCAGAAATATCTCTCCTTACTCTTTTCATGTGCTATATTTGGTCAGCACACTGAAGTTGCATTATATTCTCTCCCATTCAGAGACTGTCACACCATTACAGCACTGACAGTTCCCATCTCCATGCTCACTCTGGGTATTCTCTGGGAAGATGCAGATTCTGCTCTTTGGCAACACCTGCTTTCACTTCATATCATTTTCCTTCTGCCACATCTTAGTAATGAGCTCTTTTAAGAATTGCCTGGAGAATGGGAACAGGTTGGTAACGGCAAGGGAAAAAAAACCCAAACAAACTCAGAATTGCATCTGTGAAGGAGGTTTTCCCCAGCTGCCTTCTGCTTTGGGTCTTGCTCCCATATCCAAGGAAGGCAGTGAGGAGACTCCCACTGACTCTGCATCAGAACCTAAAAGACTTCTCTGGGAGGTATATTGGGAGTATTTTTGGTGATGTTTATGATGCAGAAAAAAAGAAGTGCAGGAGCTCGTGACCTTGCAAACCCTGGCCATGGTGAGCAGCCCCTCCTGGGCAAACACCCAGCTTTTCCTCAGGGCCTTTATTTGCCACACACATGAAACATTCACAGCTGGGCTGTTATAGACAATAAAGTTTTGTTCCTTCCTCTTGTTTTCTAATATTGTCTTGACTTAAATTATGTACGAAACAAAGGAAATAATATTTTAGAAGAGGAATGAAAGCACAATACAGGCACAAATAAAATTTGGTTACAGACAGAATTAAAGTAGATGGAGTAATTTTTCTTATGAAGAAATACTGCAGCTGAGGAGGGTGTTTTGTATAATACTCCATAGCTTGGGATTTGATTTAGAAAGCCTTTTGGACACACTTAGGTCACAAAATGTAGAGAAAACCAGCAAGGGAATGAGTCTCTTTTTTTATATTTAAAGCATTTCCTTCATATAATCCTTGTAAAACCGAGATTTTGGTGAGAAATAATAAGTGCATACAAGTCAAGCAGATTCTCTGAAAGAAGCAAAACAAAAACAAAAAAAAAAACAACCAAATAAATCAAAATCTGGAAAGGAAATGCAAGAAGAATATATTCCACAGTAAGTTTCCTCAAGCAATATTTAGTGCTAGGCATTTTCTGTCTCTAATGTGAGAGCAAAAGCAGCAGGTCCCAGCTGGGTACACCTGTCTCTCTTGACGAAGCAGCTGAACATTTCAGCAAACAGCCAAGGAAGGGGTATGTTCATGTGCTGCTTCATTTCAAGCTGCTGGACAGACTTGTACAGCAACCTGTCAGGGTTGCTGACATCAGTATTTGTCTCCAAAACTAGCCTGTGACACTGGGATTGACTTAAAAGGACACTCTCGAGCTGTTAGGAAGCAGTGGCTGCACAGTAACCATCACTGTCTGTAAGAGGTTGAGTAGGGGTAAAATACAGAGAGGACATTTAATTTATAATTGTGTACAAGTACACACACAAAGAGATGTAAACCTTAGGGCTCATTTTGGGGTTTCCACCAGCTGCTCACTAAAAAGGGCAGCTAAGAGGGACTTGAGAGCCACTGGAGCCCACAAATAACACAAGGTTTTTGCAGTGTTTGTCTGTGTTATGAAGACAATATACTAAGTTGCTCATGAAACAAAAGAAGCTCAGAGCTTTTCTATTCTCTTTTTTGTTTTTAACACTCTGAGTTTCCTTCTCTGAGCCTGTAGACCTGAAGGAATAACACCTTACAAGCACTGCTCCCTGCCCCTGCCTGTGGGCACAGATTAAATACAGCAGAGATGGAGCTAAATGTGCTGCCTAACTCTACAGAAGATCTTTCTGGTTCCCCTGCACCTGGGATCTTGCTTTAAAAGTCATGCTATGCTTTCATGTGACATTTAATTAGTCACCATCCGTAAGAAAACACCTCAGCTGACTTCTGGGCTTTTTTTCCCTTGTGGTTATCATTCAAGTGTCCTTCTACTGATTGTGGAATAAACTCTTCTGTGGTGCTTGCCTGGATTTCAAATGTCTGGACATGCTGCATGTGTGGTAGGTGAAACTTCTCAGCCTACACATTGCAAATACAAGAGATCAGTCTCACCCTTTGCCCTGCACTTACCATTGCTGTCATAGCAACTTGGCCCCATATATTCAAAGTTTAAGTGTGTTTGTAAGCCTGCTCCCCTCAAAACCATTTCTGTGTGCTCCAGTGACTTCATTGGGCAGCTTGGCAGCAGAGTGCCACCTTGAATTATTCTCGGTTAAAATTCACAGGAGTTATAGTTTAACACTGAAAGGGGCAGACTGGTTGTGTAGGAGAACCACAGGAGCAACCAACCTAGGCTGAGGTTTGTTATGAACTCTGATTTAGTGATTTAAATTTATTTGGTTTTCTGAGATGGTCTAGAGCTCATAGGCAGTGTATTACTCTGTCTTGGCTGACAAGAGGTAACTTCTAAAGATGAATGACCTTAGTTTCTTGCTGTCTTGGAAACCAAATAATAACCCTACCACACTGGAAGTAATACTTTTCATTGAAGTTCCCTACCCCATCTGCAGTTATGGCCATATTATGTACTGTGCCACAGTAATAACAGAAACACATCAACATGGACATTGCTGAAAATGGCTTTAGCAGAGCTTTGGAAGCCATTTCTTCAGGTGAATGAAGTAAAGAGTAAAACCTTTCATCTCCAGGAACGTGTGAGCCTTCCTAGTGCACTTCAAAGCTTGGCCAGCTGGAAGCAGGAGCTGTAGCAAACTGCTGTGGAGCCTGTTTGGAAGCTGACTCCAGCACAGGAATTGAAATAAATGAATTTGGCACCTAAAAGAAGGTTTTGTGGAGTCAACGCTTTCTAAGCAGAGGACAGAGAGAGATTTGGCAAGGTTGGTGCATACATTATTGGCATTTTAATGTCACAAAGGGGTAATCCCAGGTCTAACTCTGAGCCAGCTGAACTTGTCGTGGTCTTGAAGCCCACCCTGCTCAGGTGTAGGGCTGAAGTGGTGCTGAAGTGACAGCCTGGGTGGGCAGGGGAGTGCTAGACACTGTCAGAAAACACACAAATGCAGAATAAATCCTTTTTGTACTAACCTGTGGTTTCCTGCATTCGCTACTACCCACCCACCAAAGATAAAGCTTTTATGCTGATAGTTGTCAGAGAATGAGCATGAGAATGAGCATGAGAATGTTGATAAAATAAATTATCTATGCCTGCTTTTGGTTGTTCAAACCAAAACACTTTCTGAAAGGAATCTTTCTGAAATGGAAATCAATGATGGTTGGCATCATTCTCAGAACGTTTCCTTGGGACACTGAAGTGCACAAATGCTTTGCTGATATTTTGGACACAGTGCAGAAGAATTTTCCAAGTGATTTTCCATCTCTCAGGAAAAAAAATGTATTTTCCTATTTGCATTTGGACAACTATTTGTATCTTAAAGCAAGTATCTGCAAAATGTTCATGCCTGCAGCATTTTTAAAATTAATAGCAGAGAAGGAAATAACACTGGCTGTCTAGCAGAATGTTTTCTGTTGGATTTGGTAAGAATGGGATACTCTGTGTAAAGAAAGTCTTGCTTCCTTATTTGCTTAGAGATCAGAACCGTTGTCTTTAGCTTTCTTTTCTCCTGACAATTTGTTCCTGTAATCTCCTTGTGTTCCTACATTAAAACCTTTGGCTGAATTGAGAGGTAGATTAACTGAGAATTTAAGCTACACATTAGTAAACATAACAGGAGGCAATGGAACAAGTCACCCACAAAGAGAGAAAAACAGTGAAAAACAGTGAAAACAGGAATCTGTGCTGCCTCACCTACTTTTTATTCATTCTTAAAAAAAACCCCAGAAGTTTCCTGCAACATCTTTCTTCCTACATTTGCAAGTTACATCTGCTCACAGAAAGTTAATGATATGCAGAATAGTTTGCACCATGGTTAGGTCTGTTCTAAGGAGATAATAATGGATTTTAATCAGGGGCAAGCACAGGAACTGTGTCAGGAGGAACCGAGAGTCTGAGCACATCCAGGGGAGCGAAGTGGCAGGATTTGAGATGGGCCCAGTGACCTTGTCTGGGGGCACACAGAGCTCCTCAAAGGGCTCAGCATCAGCTGAAAGCATCTTCTCCAAGTGAAAGGTGTGTGGTGGTACAAAACCCTAGCTCAAAAATCACAGAGCAGGGGATTCCAGGCCACCCTGCTCAGGGATGGGGGGAGCAGAGGCAGAGGAGCTCTGGGAACCTCTCAAAGAGCACTGCCAGCTCTGTTCCTCTGAGAAAGCTCCTGCTCCATAACCAGCACAGCAGATACAGTACCTCAAATCTGTTTCCTGCAAGAAAACCAGGAATGCCTCACCCAGAGCTAGAGCAGCACCAAGGTGCTCAGTTCTTCAGGGAGGAAGGGGCTTGTGGAAGGAATAATTCTAAAGCACCAAACCAGTATCAAAGTATCAAACAAACCTCCTTCGCTAGGACATTTTCCTTGCTTTTCCCCCTCTTCACCATATGATCCAACAAAGTGTCTCACCCATTGACTGTCTGGGAAATGTGATAAGTCTGATCAGGAAAAGAAAAATTTCTCCCCCATCTCTATTAAATTCTGTGGGTGCCCTAAGAGAAGATGATCTTTGGACAGCAACAGAATATATGATTGCAAGCAGACAGTAATTTTATTACACAACTGCCCAATAGCACTTGTCTGAAATATTTCGAAGTTCTATGGCATAGAGAAAGTCAGCATTTTTTAAAGCAGTTTAAACCATAAAACAGAGGAGTAACCAGCAGGGGAAAATAAGAATAGCTATTCCTTCAGAATTTTTGAGTGATTAGACTAATTTTCAACCTTTCTTGTATATGATCTATTATTTAATCTCCCACCTTACTTCATAGCAACAAACAACAGTCTATTTTAAACCTCTGTTTTTCCTCCATTATTAAAGCATTACTCTCTAAAAGAATGGAGTTTTGCAAAATGTTAAGAGGGAGAAGAAAGCAGGAGCAGCTCCAAAAAAGGTTCAGATGGCTGTGCCAGTCCTGCTGCTCTGCCATGTCACTGCTGCTATCAAGAATATTCCTCACCTTGAAAGCCAAATCAAAGAGAATTTTAAAATAAGGAATAAAATTAGAAGATCAAACATGTGAGGTAAGGAAAGTAGGATCTGGTCCAGTACTTACTATATTCTTTCCCATATTTGTATTATCATGAATAATAATCAGTAAATGCTCTAACTGCAATTTATGTCAGAGTAAAAAGGAGAGGAACAATCAAGTTTCTACAATGTTTCACTTTTATCACATAACATGGGCTAACTACTGCATTTTTTCCCCACTTGATCTCTTTTTAAGGTTATCTTAAAGAGTTTCCTCCCTCTTTATATGAAAGGATGAATTCTATTTCTAAACAGATTTGCTCAGCAAAATTTTCTGATTTCTGTTCTTACAGTTTCTTATCATGGTATTAGCACTTTCTTTTTTTTTTCCCCACGGAACTCTTGCTAACATAAACTTGCATTAACATGTTGCTTATTGGGCCCATAAAAAAAATTAACATCCAGGGTGCTAAATAACTGCTGAAGGTCTTGTAAAAATACATTTAGCAGGCAAGAATGTCTTTGAATGAATAATAATCACATCAAAATAGCAAAGATGATTCTATATACCTCTTTCTTTTAGATATTTTTTAGATCTCCGTAACTTTCTGAGAAGCTGTGCTTAAAACACTGGTGTGAATACAGAGCAGAAAATCCAAAGTCATTTGCTTCCAATCCTTCTCAAAAAAACTCTGCATTTGCTTGTACAGCAGAACAGCTCTGGGGACGCTGAAAGGGTGCTGTGAAAATCACTGCCCCGTAAAGTCCTTGCTGGCTACTGTTTAGAAAAGGAATTTGTGAAGGAATAAAAGCACTTTTTCACCAGGTTACAAAAAAGGAGAAGGAAGAAATAGTTTCCAGTTGCTGGAACTAAAAAAGACGAGGAAGTGCAAGTGCATGCAAAGAGGGAAAACCACAATTCCCCTTTGCAAAAAGGAAGGAATGATGTGTAAAAGGCATTCAAGAAAATAATTCTAGCCACAGCAAAGATTTGTGTATGATCAACTTCTGTTTGCTGCAGAGCAGTTGTCGACTTATTTTCATGTAAGCTGATGCTGTTTTCCCTGCTTGAGTGGCATAGCAATAATAAATACATTTATTATTCATTAAATGCCTTCAAAATATTTTAATATGCCTCAGCATTTCCAAGGTGTTCAAATCACAGCAGTAAAACACCCTGCTCACATAATTTGCTGCCTTAACCACTGAATATTACAGTTTGTAGTGTAAAGTTCCTGAGTGCACATTGTCAGACTGAGTGGAGAATCACTTTTGGTATCTGGAGTAAAGCACCTAAAAAGAAGTTTTCCTCTTAAAAACTACACTCCACCCACCCACCCCCTCTCAAAATAAAGCTGCCATTATACACAGTTCAATTCTTCCATATTTTAAAACAGGTTTCATAAAATTCACCAAGTTCAGTGATTGTCAAATGAGGAAAAGGATATTTTTAAGGTAAAGGTAGAGCAATATATAGATGCTGTAGCTTCTGCATGCATTGTTTTGTGTGATTTAGTTTGATTATTTCTTTTCTATTCACAAAAACACCCCAACAAACCAAAAAAAACCCACCCCAAAAAAACCCGAAAAACCAAACCAAACAAAATAAACTAACAAAAAAACCCCCAAACAAACAAAGCTCTTCCCCTAAACAAATAAAACCAAAAAAAACCAACACAAAAAACCCCAAAAAAACCAAACAAAAAAACCCAAAAACAAATCCCAAAAAACAACAAAAAAAAAAAAAAAAGGAAAGGAATGAGGAATCAATCAAGATTTAGTCTTATGGTTTTCTTTACTTGCTGTTTGGAAGTCAGACTTCAGTGACCACAAGGTCCCAGCCTAGATCTGCATGATGGAGAGCTCTGCATAGCATTTCCTGAGTGCCACTGCACACCAAAGCAGATGGAAGGTGATTTATGGTCCTTGTTGTTCATGGGGATAAAGGAGCAGAGAATTATGCCTAGATCACTGTGTCCCGAATAATTCCTTAAGGTTATCAAGTTTTCACAGCTCTGTCTTATGTTAAGTTTATGCTGGAAAAAGAAGAATAAATCAAAACAAGAGGAAGTGAACCACTGAAGCAGAATGCACAGGGAATGTACCAAAGCACATAGTGCTTATTTATCTACAGCTGAACCACATCAACCAGGGAGAAGTTTAATTCCCAGTCACTGCTCAAACACTCCCAGATTATATTATTGTCACCAAGTCCAGCATTTGGTGAACTTTACCTACAATTAGAGCCTGGCAACACGTAGGCTATAAGCAAATAAATCGGAAAGCTAAATAGCTTTTCTTCTGTAAAGATTAGCACTTGAAACATCTAGCTGCAGTTGCCAGTGTTGTGTCCTGTGAGGTACAAAAAGCTGAGGGCAGGCTGTGGCACGAAGAGCAGCGCCATGAGCGCCTCAGCCCCGCCAGCGGCCTGGAGATGCCCGCGGCCGTTCTCGGAAAGGGCTCAGAGAGGCTGCAGATGTGAGCCTAACACGGCTGGAGCTGGCAAAAACCTCTCTACCAAGATGCAAAAAAGGCTAAAAATGAGCATGTGTTGGTGTTATTTCCTGCATGTCTCCCAGGTAAGACTGTGGAACTCCAGGTATGCAGGGGATGCTTCCCAGAGGTCTGGGAAACATTCTGACAGTGACAGAACTGCTGTTCATGCACTGCAGCACATCCCAGGGGCCAAGGCTGCTTTTGGCATCTGCTAACATCACTGCAGTTTGAAACTTGAAATGGAGCTTGTTACAACCCTGGCCAATGACTTCTCACAGGGAATTCTCTAAGAACTCTTGCTTTCATATTAACCAAGTCAAGCATTGACAAATCTGCTGTTCTCAGGGCAAATGCTGCTGCAGGGGTTATGTGAGGCTGTGGTCTCAGTCAATGTGGTGTGGGATTTACCATTCAGTTCCAAAATTAAAACGTGCAATTAAATGCTCTTAAAAATACCCTGTGCTAGGAAGAAAAGCCTTCCAAAATAGATTTTTATCTACTTGTTCCAAGTCCATAGTTCTTTAATGTTTCTGTAAGCAGTAATGGTTTTGCCCTGCAAGACAAATACCCATTGATTTGAGTTTCTAATAACATGATTTGAGTTTTTAGGTCAGGTTACCTATATATTTGTTTAATTAATTTTTATGGCCTTCCTTCCATTTAATGCTTGGGATGACAAACTTCCATTTTAGCAGCTGTGTGGATGCTAGTCTGAAGCACCCATGATGTCAAAGGCTTTGTATTCATATCCAAGTTATTTTGAGCCTTTTAAAAAATAATATGCACAGATTTATGGTATTTTTTTCAGCTCAATCTTATATCATTTATCACATGGATTAAAATTAATTCATACACATTAACCTGCAGGAAAGAGATGGTTACTGTTTCTTGAGATATGAGGAAAACATCTGAATTCCAGGGAGGATTCCAGATAAATGCATTAATTTTTAAAGTTGAAAAGTTCCTGCCTACTTTAATTATCAATGCTTCAATTTTCTGCCTTAACATTCAGTAATAAAGGTGGAGTCTGGGAGAAATGCCATGTCCAGTACAGAGCAATGTGCAGGCAATTCCAGGTGCCATCCAGCAAGCCAAGCACTTACCTTAAATCTGACAGTATTAGCTGGACTTAGGTGAAATGTCAAAGGCATAGGAATAAATTTGTTCTTGAATCCTTCCTAGAAACCCCTGTTCTCATTCAGCTCTTAGCTCAGTTGGCTTGAGCAGGGTGCTGATGAGACCAAGGCTGTGGGCTCAATCCCCATGTGGACCCTTTACTCAGAGCCAGACTCAATAATCCTCATGGTCCCCTCCAGCTCAGAGCATTCAGGGAATCTGTGAAGTGTTAAGCAAGTCTACAAGAAATGAGGAACCTAAATGCAATTACATATGCTGTCCTCACTGCTTTATTCTCAGGTCTGCCTTCAGTACCTCTTTAAAACCAGGCATGTGCTTAAATCCTTACATGAAAACTGCATTCAGATAAGTGATCTGAAATTAAAGTATCAGCCCAGCTCTTGTATATTTGCAAATCAAATTTATTTTGACAACAGGTTAACATAAGACACAGATGAGACACAGAGCCTAGGGCAAGATGGGTTGTGTGATTTAATATTCTGCAATTAAAGCCAAGGTCCAGGGATGCTGCCTTTCAAATGTGAGTGTTCAGGTTCTGCCAGGACTCTGCTGCCTGCACACCTGCCAGTGAACTGGAGAAGTTGCCATGCTACTTCATGGAAAATATTTATTAAGTCAGTGATTTATTTCATCTATTTAAAGAAGGTGGAATAAAACACTGGGCTGGCCATAATGATTATGCTGCTGTTATTTCTTTTTTAATTAATATTGAACAACCTGTACTGCAGCCAACTTCAAGACATTTCAGAATTGCACTCCTCATTCTCTGGCTGGAGAATAAAAGCCTTGGTAGGATAAATAATGTTTTCATTCTAGGACCCTACAGAAAACTACTTTTCTAGTATCTTCCTTGCACAGAGAAGAGATTCTTGATTTTCTTACCTCATCTTACAAAAAAAATACTCACCTTTTCTCCCCATCTCTGAGATATGAAATATAAAACTCAGAAACAGATGCAGTCCCAGGTCTGAAGTTCCAACAGAGGAGAAAACCAGTTCCTGTCTCACCATGCTTCTTTAACTCAATGCAATATTTACCAGGATAGAGCTGGGTGTGGTCCCCTGGCCTGGGATAAATGATTTTTTCCACCTGTCCATCCCAAACCCTCTGTCCCCTCCCATCCCTGCAGTTTGTCAGTGTGGCTGATCCTGTGCTTGTTCCCAGGCCTGCTCTGGGTTATTAAGGGGGAATTTTATTTACACATTCAATCTGAAGCCCCACAGAGTTTTATATTAGAGATTTGCCATTGGGGGAGAGGGAAAGAAATAAAGAAAAGAACAGCTAGGCACAATGACCCCAGCTCAGCATGTCTGACCACCAATCTCTGCTTACTTCTAGAAGCTGAACATTGTATTATCCATGCAAGAGTCAGCTTGCATGGGAGACAGCAGGGTTTTGGTGCTGATACGTTTCAGTTGCCCCTCAATTGAGGTCAGTGGGACAGAGGCAGGTGATTGTCAGTGCCAAGTGATTCTCTCTGAACTGTGGAAAACCCTCTGACCCAGAGAAGAGACACAAAGCCAACTACAGACTCCTCCTGGTGCAATGGTGTAATACCATGTTGTGTTAGATCCACAGCAGAACAGCCTCCAGAAGCTATTTTAATCAATTAAGAACAGTTGGATCCTTTAGCACATAGTTACCATCATCTACTTATTATACACTTAAAATGCAATTATAGACAGGAAAATAATGTTCGTTTTCTATTGGCCTTATTTTCCTTGAGTGAATTGAGTCTGCTTCTCATCTGCAGTCACAGTCCCAGCTGCTTCCTGACTGAAACAGATCCTGTAGGCTTTTTATATCCAGTAGCAATGCAGCAATGCCATATGCAGGGCCAGGGTGTGTGGGGGAGCTAGGATGTCTCCTGGCTCCAGAATTATAAGGCTGTTCCAAGTTCCAGTGAGGAATCAGTCCCTGTGTGGTGATTCATGAGGTAGCAAAGAACCTAGATCCAGTTCCCAGGCTGTGATTTTAGGGTTAGAAAAGCAGTGTTGCTTCTCAAGCTTAAAAAAAAACATAACAGAAGGGGAGATAGTTTTTGGAGTCCCTGCCTGTAACAGAGCAGGTCTCTGAGGATATTAATTATCCAAGACTGGTGGTAAAGTAGAAAAGGTGAATGCATAGCAAAGGAGTTTTCCTAAACATATATAAATAGCAAACCATTACACTTTCACTGGAAGAAGGAAAATTTGCAGACAGGGCAAAGCTCAAGAACTCCCAAGCCCACAAATGCTTGTGTTCCCTGAATGTCATTGATACAAGTCACTTGCTGCCATAATTAGCTTTGTCAGAAGACCTGAAATAGAAGGGGGTGGAGAGGAGTCCCTGCAGTGTGAACTGACAGGGCTGTGTACCAGGGTGGTGTGGAGAGGATACCCCCAATTCCTTAAATCTGCTTTGCTTCCTGACCACAGCATCTACAGGGTCACTTGATGGACAGATATGCATAGGCTGGCCACATTTCACCAGGAGATTGCTCCACAGTTTCAAGGTTGTATTTATGAGAAACCTGCCAAATGCTTTAATTGGTGTCCAGTGCAGTAGGTCACCAAGAAAATAAAAATAAAATTCAAAAAACCCACCCCAGGGCAGCATTCAGGAAACTACTTCATAGGAGAAGTTTTAAGTTGTGACAAGGCAGCCTATCAGACTTCTGGAAGACTTTCTTTAACCTGTACCTTCAATAGATACCAAAGAAATAATTTGGACACTGTTCTTTGTGGTCAGGTGCAGGTTTTTATGCTGCTACTATAATATTTAAACACTTCCTATTAAATATTGCATATCAATAGAACTGGCTATATCAAACAGCAGGTAATTGCTGGCACTTATTTTTCAAAGTCAAAACTCTGCTTGAACTTCCCTTTGAGAAAATTAGGGTTTTATTAGCTGGCAGAGAAGGGGAAGTGATCCCAAGGGCAATTTGGCTTGGGAATGCAGTGTTCCCATCAGAGCATCCTTTCTGGCAGTAAGGCTTTCCTGAGAGAAAGTTCAGCAGGGTTTCCTGAGACTGTTTAGCTCTCAGACCTGATTTTTATGGAGGCCTTGGAAGAAGATGAGATGGCACCTTCAGAAATATGAACCCAGCAATGCACAAACCCCACTGTCTTTCTCACTGCAAAGTCAGTAGTGAGTCAGTGCACAGAATAAAAAAGGTTGAGGAGGAAGAAGTCTAAAGTTTGTGTTTGTCACAGCACTGCACAAAGTGGGAAATGCCAAGTGTAGGCTGCCAGCCTGTACATCC